TATAACTGACTGACAAAAATTGATGTTCTTAATATCATCGATGGATTTAATTTTTCAATTTGAAAGACACGAAGCAGCTGAACTGGACATATAAAATATTCAGCATGGTTGGAGATAATGAGACATTTGTGCACGAGTATATTCTCCTGGGCTTCACAAGCCAAGCAGAGCTGCAGGTGATGTGTTTTTGTCTTGTTCCTTGCTATCTTATAGGAAATCTGGGAGGAATGACATGAATCCAGATCGATCTGCACCTCCACAACCCCCCTGTACTTCTTCCTGAGCCACTTGTCCCTCCTGGACACCTCTTCTACCATCATCCCTCAAATCCTCCTGGGTTTCTCAGTGGAGAAGAAAGCGATTTCTTTCGTTGGATATGTCACTCCACTCTTCCTCTTCACTACCTGGGCCACCATGGCCTACGACTGCCACATTCCTGCATCCCCCTGCTCTACGCCATGGCCATGTTCTGGAGGTTTTCTGTTGGGATGGTGGCTGGTGCTATCAGCTCCACCACACAGACACACAGAGTTTCCATATTCCGTGCCCCATTCTGCTGCTCCAAGGTGATCCATCACTTCTCCTGTGATGGGCTGCTGCTGCTCACCCTCTCCTGCTCCAGCACCTGCACCATCCAGGCTGTGGTTGCTGCCATGGTGGGGTTCAAACATGCTGAGCACTGTGGCCTTTGTCCTGCTGTCCTACTCATCTGTCCTCTCGCTTTCCCATGGCTCTGTCCTGCAGCTGGTCAGCACAAAGCCTCCTCCCCCTGGGAGGGAAGGCTGTTCTACAGAGCACACCGTTCTTGGTTTCCCATTTGCTTCCTATTAAATGATACCCTGGAAATAATTTTGTACTGAAAGGGGAGAGGAGCTGTTTGTGGGAGTTCAGATGTCCATGATAAATCTTTATGCTTTTTCAGTTGCTGAGTTCCTAAACTTTCTTACAGTGGTACAGGCAAAAACTCCACGGCACCCCTGATGGAGACCCTCAGAGACCTTAAAAGAGTTTGTGTGAATGGTAACAAGTGTTGGGGAATGTCCTGAATACAAAACAGGAATGCAGGGAACAAAATGAACCCTCATGTAATGCTGAGCCCTCCCATCAGCTGCAGTGGAGACACCTCTGTGTGCACTGTGGGGGCTGATTGCCATGACATCCAGAGGGCTGGGATCATTGCAAGGTGTTGTAAGCAAGGAATGCCTGGCTTCTAAAACTCACCAGCTGAGCCTTAGAGGCTTCTTTGCCGAGCTGTTTTCAGGCAGACAAATGGGCCCCCAGCAGGGACTCTGTGCCTGCTCTCCCGTGGTTCCGAGGGATCTCTGGGCCTTCACACCGGCACCAAGATGTTCTCGGGAAGGCCCTCAGATCCCGGGAGCACTCTGGGACACAGGCACGATCCCCCTTCATTTTGGGAGCAGATTGGGCCCCCTGGAGGGACAGTGCTGTTAGTGACCCTGGGCTCGGGCACCCTGAGGACTTGAGCGTGCACTGAAAGGATTCTTCGAGGAGCTCCTCTGGGTGCCCGAAACTGGGGAGCTCAAAGCAAGGTCCCTGGAATGGATTCAGGCATTCCTGAGAGTATCAGAGCTGGCCCTGGAGCTCTAAAATGGACTGTAAGTGGCTTATAAAAGTGGTGCTCCAACTGCAAAAGAAGTGTGGGATTGGGATTAAGGAATGAGCAGTGATGGGTACCATTGGCTGTTTTCTCTTGACAGGAATTGTGAGAGTTGCAGGAGTGCCAGGTGTGGGTTCCAGTCCCCACCATTTGGTTTGCACATGTCCTGGTCAGACACAGGTCCAACTTCCTCAATCCTGAACACAATCAAAGGAGAATTAAGGGATGGCCCTGTGAAGGTGATTGGTGTGACAGGGGTTAAACTGGGAAAACCTTGGGTAATTCCTCAGTTTCTCTCTTTGCCAAACTCACCCAAACCTCTTCTAGGAAGAGATTGATTGGAAAAGTTGAGGCAGAAATTAAATAGAAAACTGGGAGATTGAAATTGTAATTCCTGAAACTAAATGTGTGAGAGCAGCAGCTCTTCTTGTGCAGGAAATAACTCCTGTCAGCAGCACCATCCTGACTGAAGTGGCAGATGGAGTTGTTCCTGTCATGTGGGCCAGCGGAATTCCAGGAGAATGGACAAGGGCAGAACCTGTAAGAATTATCCCTAAGCCAGAGTCTGTACTGGTAAGGCAAACACAGGATCCTTTAAAATTAGGAAGCCAAGTTGGATTGGTTCCTGTAACAGCCAAGTTTGGTAATCACGGTTTGAGAGTAGATTGTGAATGCAAGAACCTGTAAAGAAAGGAAATGGGAAAGATAATTGATTCCTGGGAGCAGGGGCTGACAGACACTGGCACTGGATGTTTGGTTGTGGTTGGGAATGAGCAGCTTGACCTTCTCAGGGTCTGTGCTGGGTGTGGGTTTGGGTCCTGTCTGGCCACAGGTCTGTGCAGCAGCTGGAGCCTGGGCAGGTTTGGGGGCTGTGGTGTCTCAGCCTCTGAAGTTTGTTGTCACTGTTTCCTTTCAGTGGCAAAGTGTCCCTGCTTGGCTGTTTGTTGCCCTGCAGCCAGAAGAGCCCAGCCCTGAGATGGCTCAGTGTTGGTGTGACACCCAGTCGGTGTCACCTGCCCTTGGGACAGTGCCCAGAGCTCCCTTTGCCATCCCCTGCTGCAGGGTGGGAGCTGCACAGAGCCAGCAGCGTCCGGCTGGAGGATCCAGGAGGATGCAGCTCTGCTTTTCTGGGAGGTAAGAGGTGGGGGTGCCGGAGCTGGAAGGGGTGTTTTCCAGGCAGAGGGAGGGAAGGAGCAGGGAGAACTGCAGCTCCCAGCAGCTTGGTCAGTGCCGGCTGGACTCGGGGCTGGGAAAGGTCACTCGGTGTGAGGGCAGGTGAGAG